GCACCTCAGCCTTCTCCTCGTCTGTTGATACTAGGTCACCATTCTTGTTTTTCAGGGAGGGTACGCTTTATTTAACTTTCCTTTTCTCGTTGATATACCTGTAGAAGCCCTTGTTATTCTTTGTTTCCCTTACCAAATTCAGCTCCAGCCGCACCTTGGCCCTGCGGAACCCATCCCTACACAACCGGGCAATGTCTCTATACTCTTCCCAAGATACCTGTCCCAAATACTAGAAGGTAATGACATAAAATACCTTAGAATAATCCTGATGTTCTGTATTGAGCTCTGCAAGTTATGCTTTTACAGAGAATTATATTGTGCCCCTCAAGAAGGCAGGACTGGTTTAGGGTCCCAGAAATCATTGTAAAAGAACCTGGCTTCATAAACTTGAAAATAATTAACTGGTGGTTTTCTGAATAACGCAATTCTCTTTACTTTTCTATGAGCATTTACATGTAAAATCAGGTCTCTAATAAGTTTTATGACAGACAACCACATGCATGTGTTAAAATTTCTTAAATATTGATAGATACAAGTTGAATGCCTATTTCTAGAAAAAGTCAGGAAAATTAAAAGATGTATCTACAGGTGTCTGTTCAATGAGTAAAAACAGTCAGTTTCCCTGTTTATCATTAGGAAATGATGACTGGATTTTTTATTCAAAATTTGATCTTTTAAAATACATTTGTAATAATACCATCCCACTCCCACTCCCAGAGGGATGGGGGAGAGAATTGGAAGAGAAAACCCATGGGTTGAGATAAGAACAGTTTAATAATGGAAACAAAATGAAGTAAAATAACAATAGTAATAATAATACTATTAGTAATAATAATATACAAAACAACTGATGCACAATGCAATTGCTCATCACCCGATGACCAATGTCCAGCCCATTCCTGAGCAGTGTTTATTGTCCTCTCTCGCCCCCAGCCAACTCCCCCCTGCGCAAGATGTCATATGGTATGGAATAGCCTTTTGGCCAGTTGGGGTCAGCTCTCCTGCCTGTGCTCTCATAAAAAATACTTACCAGCAGAATATCTTGTTGCTCGTAATTAGTGTGAACTTTATGCGTGTTTCTGTTATACTATCTACCTGCCGCTTACAGAAATCACTCAACAGAATTTTTAACAATTTCACTTTCTGTGCAAGTGACTTAGAGTGAAAGAGTGCATGCATGTATGTATGCATAGGTGGGTAAATGTGGTTCTGTGTGGATATGCCACAGCTGGGCAACCACATAAGATACTGAAGTTTGCTTGTAAACAAAGTAATTTACATACTTTTTGAAGATTTAATCCAGTTAACCTACAATCACTTATTGCTTTACATTTTTCTTTATTTCATAAGAGTTTTGAGCAATCAGGTGTCCTAACTCATTACAATTGTCCTCTTTTTTTTTTTTTCCATTTAAATTCCATGCATGCTAGCTGCTTAGAAAAGCCAGAGTTTTTGCATATTAACAGTGAAACTAAAAATAAAGAAATGTAGCATGGTTTCCATGGGCCAGGTATAGAATAAACCCCAGAGCCAGCATCCAAAATCTTTAGAGTCTCCCATGAAGACCTAGTGGATCCATTTGAAACTAGTCCTAAATATTACAGATATCTCCAGGTTGATACATATGTTGGCATGACTCAAAGCAAATTCCACCAAAATAAATCTGCATTGTGATAGAAATTTATTTAATCTCTCCTATTATCTTAGATTTGTCTTTTGACTAATTATTTCAATATTAGCCAATTCCAGTGTTTAGTTATTACAGAATCACAGGATCACAAAATGGCTCTGGAGGTCATCTCATCCAACCCTCTTTTCAAGCAGGGTCACCTAGAGCCACTTGCCCAGGACCATGTCTAGGCAGCTTTTAAATATCTCCAAGGATGGAGACTCCACAACCTCTCTGGGCAACCTGTGCCAGTGCTCGCTCATTCTTACAGTGCAAAAGTGTTTCCTGATGTTCAGACAGAACCTCCTGTGTTTCAGTGTGTGCCTACTGCCTCTTTCTGCCACTGGATACCAGTGAAAAAATCCTAGCTCCATCCTCTTTGCACCCTTCCTTCAGGTATTTATACATATTGGCAGGATCACTTCTGACCCTTCGCATCTCCAGGCTGACAAGCCCAAGCTCTCTCAGCCTTTCCTCATATGAGAGATATTTCAGTCCATTAATCAGCTGCATGACCCTTTGCTGGACTCTCTCCAGTAGCTCCACATTGCTTTTGTACTGGGGAGCTCAGAACTGGACACAGCGCTCCAGGTGTGGCCTCACCAGTGCCAACTAAACATTGCAGGAATCTATTATTTGTGGAATAGGTTGTAATATATCACCAAAGGAAATTTCTGGATTACCTTTATTTTTTTGGTTTTGGTTGGTTTTAAAAGAGTCATTCAATGCTTCAGGAAATAACCACAGAACTTCTTTTGGATGCAAGATCTTCTACTTATATAACCTTTACACATTTTCACATTTCTTATGAAAATTCATGGTTTTCTCTTTACATACTTCATTCCTCCATTAAGAAAATCCCAATAAAAAAAATCTACATGTATATATTCCCCTCAAGGCATATTGTCTCCTATTTTTCTCTCTCATTATAGGTGATCAATCCTATTTTTCACAGCAAAATTTTTCTCTCTTGGGTGATTTTCCTAATGGGAACATAGTTTTCATCAGGACTATCTGTCTATCAGATGATCTAGCCAGTCAGTGTTTAAATATCATTAAAAGGGTTCTGACTCAGCCAGAGTGATAACAATTTGATTCAATTACATACAGAGGAGCTGCTAAAGTACAATCTGTTTAATGGTAGACTATTTAAAAACCAAACATTTGCCGTGTAAATATGCTTAAACATGGTTGAATTCTCAGCATCTCTGGTAATACCTTATTTACAGATTGTTGTTTTTATTATAATAATATTGGTATACTATTAATGTTTAATGAAGTGTATCACCTCAGGTGTCATAGATTTTATTTCACTATCACTCTTGAGATGTTGACAGGTTGCAAAAAATTATTTTTTCAAAACTTAGTAAGGTCTACAATACTTCTGGAATTTTAACAGATTGTGCATTTCTATGTGTATCGTTACCAATGTTACTGTGTTGTTAACAAATAAGAACATACTTTCAGAATTGTTTTGTGGGTCAAATTTTAAGGTCAAATTGCACTTCAACCTGTATTCATGCTGCTAGCACTCCTTTATATGAAAGCTCCTTCATATGGGAGAAATCCTGTCAGGACCTTTTTCTCCTTCTTTCCTCCTCTGTACTTTGCTAATGTAGTGGAATTTTTTCAGTAGAACAGAGTGAGTGATCCTTGTAAACTCAGCTAAAAGAATAACAATGGTTATACTAGACACATTTTGGACATTAATTTGAACCAGTACTCAAAATAGGTTTCCTTTAAGTATCTTGCTTTCAGCACTAGATAACAACATCTGAGTACATGAACTGAAATATTTAATTATTACATTTATTGTTGTTGGTTATCATATCTATCTACTGATCTATAAAACTGCTTAACAATTAATGCTAGTTGCCTACTCAGTTATATTTGCAGTCCCTTAAGTTCATGAGTATTTATTCACAATTTAGATTGTGCAATTGTAACAATAACTGGGAAGAACACAGCAACTTGATTATAGAGTGACAGTTTTAAAAAGTGACTTTACAGCTCCAATTTTTGAATTTAACACATTCTGACTGCTCAGGTTAAAATGGATGATCTTGCTTATAGAGAACTAGACTTTTTCAGGATATTATTTGGTTATGCTTCTTACTGTCCTGACTCGACTAAAGCTAGAGGAGAACAGCAGTTTTGGTAGGGGGTTGTTTGTTTTTTTTCATTTGTTACATTCCCTGCTTCCAAACTTTCTATTCATTGTTTTATTTATAGGTTTTTCTACACTGACTCAATCCTGAAACAAAAAGATCAGTTCTATGAGTAGACTATATGGCTCAAACTCTACCTTGGTTTCCCCCTTGTGCAATCCTTTTGAGGTCTGGGCACTATGTACGTGGCTCAGAAGCAGCTTAATGCAGAGTGTTTGTATGTAAGTGTTTATCATTGATTTCAGAAGATCAGATCCTATCAACTTTCCAGAAAAAAAAGCAAAGGCCAGTGTATTTTTTTCTTGGTGTTTTTTTTTCTTCCTCCTGAACATGAGAAAACCAGTGCAGAACACTTATTTTAGGTAGAAAAGCAGTGCAAGTGATGAAAATCTCCTTGACAAGACCAGCCTATTCTGAAGACACCATCTTCTCCTGAAAAACTTTAGCCTCTTTCACAATTCTGGCTTTGGATAGTATCTTGAAACTGGGCCAAATTTTGTGAAATTACGATTTTTCTATTGATAATTGTCTATTGAAGCATAAGTCTAAGACAAAACTAATTTAATCTGTATTATAGCTGGCTATGAAAGAAAGATACAAAACATCTCAGATGGTAAATATAACCATGTTTATCTGATAAAAAATAGCACATGTATTAGACTTATTACATTGTTAGCACAATGAATTCCATGGTAAATCCTTATGGTTCTTTATTCCAGGAAGACCAAAACGATGCTTC